TTCTCTCTCAGGATTGGATGATTTGATTGATTCATTTTCATATTTATTCTTTATCACCTCCATTCTGCAATTAAGTCTATTTGGTGAAGTTTTAAATTTCACATATTTTTGGTTTTATAATTTCTTTTTTGGTTCTTTTATTCTTTCTCTGCTGAGATTTCCTATCATATTTCATTTTGGGAATATTTCCATAATGTCATTGAACATAGTTCTAATAGCTTTTTTAAAAATCCTTGTCTGCTAATACAACATCTGGGTCACCTCTGGGTTGGTCTTTTGAGAATGGATCACATATTCCTATTGTTTGTTTGGTTTTGTTTTTTTAGTTTGATTTAATTTGTTTTCTCTTTTGATATGTTGAGTAGTTCTGGATTGTATCCTGGACGTTTGTTATGTTGTGAAGACTCTGAATTCTGTTATATTCCTCCAAAGAGTGTTTAATTGTTTTGTTCTGGTAGGCAAAACAAGCCACCAAGTCTATCTCTCGGGTGGCATCCCAAATTTCACTTTATTTCTATTATCCTTTACTAGGCTGTGTGGAGTCTGTGTGTGTATGTTATAAAATTCAGAGTTTTGGGCAGTGTTTATATATAGAAGTTGGGGCTCTCCCTGTCGGTACTTTCCTTTCTCACACTTATTTTCCAGCAGCTATAGTTATCTCTAACTGTTCTCTAGTTCTTTGAGCCAAAAGGATTGAGTTTTCTGTAGGAGTTTAGCACTGACTGCTGTCAGACTTTGAGCCATGAAAATGGGAAACTTACCCCATGCTATTCCTTTTTCCTAACCGTTGACTCCCCCTCTAGAATCTGTCTGATATCTTCAAGTGGTTATATTTGTTTTGGCTAGAGTTTACAGTTTTTATCTGTAGAGGGCTGATCTGGTAGAAGCTTTATTAGCCATATCAGAAACAGAACCAAGAAGCAGTTTGAAAATTGTACAGTTGGCCCTCCATTCTGTGGGTTCTACATCCATTGATTCAACCAACCACAGATCAAAAATATTGGGGAAAAAAATCACATCTGTACTGAACATGAATAGACTTTTTTCTTGTCATTCCCTGAACAATACAGTATAATAACTATATAGCATTTATATTGTACGAGGTATTACAGATAATCTAGAGATGATTTAAAGTATACAGAATGGTATGCATAGGTTATGTACAAATACTATACCATTTTATATCAGAAACTTGAATATCTGTGGATTTTGGTGTCCACAGAAGATCCTAGAACCAATCCCCCACAGATACCGAGGGACCCAGTGTATTTTAGAAATTATTTGTGGTGTAATGAGATGGTAAAAATTAACTCTTATGATTAGCCAATTAAATCTAAGCTAGATTTGAGGATTTTCTTTAAGGTGATTATTCTAGAATCTTTTTGCTCTTTTCTTTTGTACTCTTTTTAATATATAGCCATTTAGAAATATTTGATAAAAAATTTTATTACAGCTCCTATTAAAGGAAATTCTTTGGCGTCATGGGTAATATCTTCCTCAGCTGGTCCTCATAACCTGTGGCTTTTTAAACAGATGAGGCCAGGGTTCAGACCCAGTGCCCAGAGTTAACTTGCAGAGAGAATTTTGAAATCAGCTATTATGTGTCAGAATGTAAATAATGATTGGGGTTATTATGAATAATTTTTTCTTTTTAATTATCTTCTGTATTTTTCCTGTTTTCCTCAGTGAGTATATATTAATTTTTGTTGCTTTTTTCCTCATTACAAAATGTCTCTATTATTCATTTTTTTTTGAGGGAGAGAGAGTCTGTCACTCAAGCTAAAGTATAGTAGCATGATTGTAGCTCGCTGCAGCCTTGAACTCCGGGGCTTAAGTGATCTCCTGCCTCAGCCTCCTGAGTAACTGTGACTATAGGCACACACCACCACACCCAGCTAATTTTTAAAATTTTTGTAGAGATGAGGTCTCAGCATGTTGCCCAGGCTGGTCTTGATCTCCTGGCCTCAAGTGATCCACCTTGGCCTCCCAAAGTGCTGGGATCATAGACGTGAGCCATGGCACCTAGCCATTAAATTTAAATGTTACAGAAATATATAACATATAAACTGATAGTCTCGTCTATAATCTTACTGTCCAAAGAAAATAATTATCATCTTTACTACATGGCGCCAAGGTAGTTTGTTTTTATGCTGCCATTTTGATCTCAGTGTTTTAACCCATAGAATGGATTAACAGTAGCTAGAAGTGCATAAGCCTAGTCTGTTACAGATAAACTAAAGAATCATATGTTGTACGTAATATGAAAATTGTAAAAAGCATGATCCAGAAAAATTCAACTTGGTAGACAAAAATCAATGCAGAAAATCTAACAGCAATTAAAACCACATGTGGTCAAATTAGTTATTGACCAAAAGTTAACAGAAGTGTTAAATCTTGAGAAAATTTAGAGCTGCCAAATTTAGATTAGTAGAGCTAGGGTTTGTAGAAATAATAGCCATAAAACAAACTTTTAAAATGATAAGACATATAATTGATAAAGATTTGGTGTGGTCAAAATCAATTAAATTAAAACTGTATTGAAAATTTCGTATTTGAGCCTAATGAAAATAATTTTAGTAAGATGAAAATGAAAAATGGAGTCGGCTTAACCATAATTTACTATTTTCATTATTATTATTTTGATTTCGCATGTTTTGGATGGCATTTCATGTTAGTTCATATAGCTGTACCTCATTCTTTTTAATCGCTGTTTATTATTCCATTTCATGAATCTATGCTAATTTATTCCATCTTTTTAAAAAACTATTTTATTTTCCAGAATATGCTTTTAAAGCTATTAACCAGGGTGGCCTTACATCAGTAGCTGTCAGAGGGAAAGACTGTGCAGTAATTGTTACACAGAAGAAAGTACCCGTAAGTAATACTTTCCAAATAGTCAATTATTACAGAATATAATGAAAGGATTTTTCATCAGTTTGTACAAATGTATTATATACTATTATGTACATAAGTTAACGTTATTCTTGCTTTGACTCTGCATTCCTATCATTTAAGAAGTGTCTATTGGCCAGGCATGGTGGCTCATGCCTGTAATCCTAGCTCTCTGGGAGGCTGAGGCAGGCAGATTGTTTCAGCTCAGGAGTTTGAAACCAGCCTGAGCAAGGGCGAGACCCCGTCTCTACTAAAAATAGAAAGAAATTAATTGGACAACTAAAATATATAGAAAAAATTAGCTGGGCTTGGTG